CGAGAAGACCATCAAATTGTCATGAGACAGCAACTAGCGAGTGCCAGTGAGTACATAAATATGGAGAACTTCCCAACTCCAAAATATCAAGACAAAAGGTATGTCAGTTTCAAACACGTGAAATGTGTTGCATGGAACATCCGGGTGATATCCATTTAGTTGCATGCATTCATCAGGTGTTCTTCATGTGTTTATAAATAGTTTACTCAATGGTTCATAATTACGTTAACTATATGAATTCTTTAACTATATATCATGTGCTGCCCAGGTAATGTACATTAACATACAGTATTATTAAAAGCGCCATGTATTCAATAACTGATAATTGTCGTTGTGGGCCACCGTACATTGGGGATTGATGTGAAATTTTCTGGGTACGGGGTTTTGTAAGACAGTACGGCTTCCTTGATAATGCTTATGCAAAACAAATAGCTCTATAGTTTTTGTATTGTATTTTATATATATACGTCATTTGTACAATCTTTAAATTGCTGCAAACTTCTTGTTTCTTTTCAGCGAACTAACGACAAAAACCCCCACAGAGCAAACGGATGAGAGCACTGAATGGGTACGTTCCCAGATCAAGGACAATTGGATGTTGAAAGAAGACCAAACTCGTAAAGAATTCGATGTTAAAACTACGAAAGGTGATGTAGCAATTACGGATACAGATGCATCGACACTCGGAGACAGTTTTAAATGGGTTGACGATCACGTATTTGTTGAGAGTCTGTCAACACCGTCTGAATCTGGAACTTTACAGACGACAGTTGAGTTACGAGAGCAGATCGAACCAAAAACAACAACAAGTAGTAATCACAACACGGAAATGCCTCCTCCTGTTGTGACTGACAACAAACAAATTAATCCCGATTTCAGCCCGCCCTCGTCACCGGACGAGAAAGAGGATCGGAAAACAATCTCAATAGAAGTGATGGTCCATCGTAATAACCACGAATATGCAAAAGATCAAGTGATGATATCCAATACTTCTTTTCTCATGCAGTCTCCAAATGGATATATATCTCCACCACCACCGCCGCCGCCGCCACCACCTCCCCCTCCCCCTGCACCGAGTCATAGTGCTGTCCCCGAACCCTTCAACGTGTATCAAACTAACACAAGAGAGGAAGAAACAGGAGAAAATATTGAAAAAACAAAAAAGAGGGTTGCATTTAAAGACAATATTGTGGAAGTAACGGAAGTGACGGAGGTGAAAGAAGTAATACGAGTGGAAAGAAAGAAATCTGCATCGGAAAGTTCGACCGAATCGATAGATTCTGATAAAATAAAGTCTCGAGGCGGAGTTCATGAAAAGATCCTTTATCTCATGTCACGATTTGAGCCGGAGTCTCATATTGGCGGAACAAACCCTATTCATCGGAATCGGAGCACTTTGAGATCAACTAGGATGACCTCATCGGATCACATAGATGCTTCTGACGTCAGCCAAACGTGGTTGAGTGCATCAGGGAGCGAAATGGCTGCGTTGGATAGAAATATGAATAGTAACGGTACGTGGAATGATGGGGAAGATCCCAATGTGATGAGTGACGGGGAGGACGATTCTAAGAAAAGAACCAAAAAGAGTGTACGGTTTATTACACCAAGTCTAGAAAAACTGAATAAACTTGATGGTAGTAAACCTCCTAAAATTCCCATCATGCTTGACATTGGGGAAAGTACTGATAATGGTAACTATGGTAACGAAGCTTCTCAAAACCAGGCATCAACTGCAAATGGGTACTTAGGAAACCCTCCTGCTCCCCCTCTTCCAAATCTTCTCAGTTTCGAAGCAGTTGAAGCGATGCAGACAGATTCTGGAATCAATTCTCCTCATGCGTCGCCATCTAGGGCAACGACAGTTGCTAGGCAACAGGGAACAGTTGACACTGGGGCGCAATTTAATGATGGCAAGGATATGGCAGAACGGATGGAAGGGTTTCATATAAGCTATAGTGAAGGTGAGGTTCAGTGAAACCATAAACAAACAATGTCATTGTCTAAATACGATTGTGATTTACATCTGTCTAACATATTTGTGTTTTTTCTTTTCTATTTTTAGAACACTATAAAGCGATGCAGGAAGCGTTGAAGAAGCGATTAAGCCAGCCAATTGAAACATATCCGGAGTTAAAAATGGAGTGATTATGGAATTTTAAAATCAATTTTAACTATGCAAAAATAATATTCATTGTAACATGTAAATATTTTTTTGGCATTCTTACTTGAGCTACGTGCACAGCGCCGCTGACGGTCAGTTAGGAGACGTGCTTGAGCTTTGTACAGGCAACACAGGTGCTAACAACACAAAATATCAACCATTTATTATATTACCATTAATCAGTCACACGAAACGAGGTCTTTTCAACGGAAACTTGAAAATGGCAATTTCCGAATTTACAAATTGAATCACATAAAACACATCGGACTCCTCCAAACAATAACATGAATTAACATTATGTGAACTCTTCCTAGATTTAGTATTACAACAAATTGAAATTACGAAATAATATACATTTTATATCAGGTCAATTTACATATTTGTAAAATTTAATATCATATTCGAGTGCCTTGTATATAAATCAGGCAGGTCATGGGATTTATTTTATACAGCATTACCCATATATATATATTTCATATATTTCAAAAATACATAATTTTATGAATATGTCATTTATAAATACTACACATAGATTGTGATCACTTGAACTCACTATTGTTCAATTTCAGTCATTTATTATAATGAGACAGTCACGTGATCTAACATGCAGAACAAATTGGCCATTTAACAATGTGCTATCCCGGTTTTCAACCAACCAGGTGATTATTGTCTATAGTAGGCAAATTTTAGGATATACAATGTTCACATTGGTTCATGGTATTATTGAATTAAAATATAAAACATTTCATTTTTTTAATTATTGCATGTTGCCATATTCTCAAATGAAATTTAGAGGGCGAGCTATTTTACAAGATTGTCTCAAAAGATGCACGCAAAGTTGTCATTCTGTCTGACTCGTGGAAACGGTCACGTGGCGATTCTCGCCATCACTATATATCTGACGTCATCATTGTCTGATGTAACAAGTGTCACGGAATATCACA